TTTTTTATTCAAAATTCACCATTATACGAGGGGGGTGTTCAATAAGTAATGCCCCTGACCCTCTTCCAGTTGTCTGATCTAGATGAAATTTTGCATGTGTAATGATTTACATCTGTATGGGTTATGTTGCAAAAAAATGCTCTGAACTAATTGTGGTTTCTGATTTACAGTGTGAAATGAAGCCAGTTTAGTGTCGTGCAGTGATCCGGTTTTTGTATTTGAAAGGATGTCCACGAAAGGAGATTTTTGATGAAATGAGAGAAACGTATGGTGATGATGCCCCATCATATGACCTTGTAAAACGCTGGCTTTGTGAATTCAAACATGGCCGGAAGTCTTCTGCCATTGATGAGGCATCTGTCCGTTACGTTGAGGCAGCCATTTTGGAAGATAGATGCATTACTGTTCGTCAAATAGCCCAAGAGATCAAGATTAGTACAGGGTCTGTGAAAACTATCATTCATGACCATTTGCATGTGCATAAGGTGTCTGCCAGATGGATTCCCAGGGTGCTCACACCATTCCCGAAGCAAGAACGCGTCAAATGCTCGAGGATGAATTTGGAGATGTGCCATAAAGATGAGTCAAAAGACTGATTACACAGGATGAAGCTTGGATCCATCACTATAATCCAGGGACCAAAGCCTAGTCAATACAGTGGAAGCACTTGGATTCACCACCTCCAAAAAAGGCAAGGGTGCAGACCCTCCGTTGGCAAGGTCATGCAAACAGTCTTCTGAGACCAAGACAGAGTAGTGATGACAGATTTCCTGGCAAAGGGTACCACAATTACAGGAGCCTATCATGCTTCACTTTTGATGAAATTAAAAGAAGCTATCAAAATCAAGAGGCAGAGCAAAATCAGCAAAGGTATCCTCCTCCTGCAGGATGAGGATATACAACTCCGGTCCACAACTTGCATGTCACCAAATCAGAAGCACGGGCGTGTGGCTATGAAATCTTCCCCCATCCCCCTTACTCTCCTGACCTTGAACCCTCTGACTTTCATCTCTCCCCAGCCATGACGTTATTTCTGAAAGGAAAGCGTTTCCCAGATGATGCAGCCTTGATTTCTGAAGTTACAACGTGGTTGGAGGACAAACGCTGTCTCGAGCTGCATCAAACGATAGGAGAAATGCATAACTCTGGTTGGTTCCTATGTAGAGTTAAACTAATAACTGTGCTATATTTAATTATATTTAATCTCCTGCTGTGGGAAATGGCTCAGGTGCATTACTTATTGAACGCCCCTTGTAAAGTAGGAAGAGATAGTAGAATGGAGAAAAAAAAACTTAAAATTAAATCTACAGTTATAAAAAAAGAAAGAGAAAAGGAAAACATAATGAAACAAATTTAACTCAATACTAGGTACTAGGCAAATACATGGTTCTGGTCTTCATCAACATTTGACATCTCGACTTCAAAACTTCAGAAGTTTTTGTGGAGGCAATTTTTGGATAGCCTAAAATGGAGCTGAAGATAGAGTGTGCCGGAACCCCTAGTTGACCAATTTTGACTATAATAAACATTGTATATGATAAAGAAAGGTGTGGAATAACAGGAATATACTGGTATGTTTCTACCGGTATGTAAAAAAAAAAATATAGATCAGATTTTACAGGGTTCGTATGAACAAACTATAAAGTAGAAACTTACTCTGGCTGCTTCTTACACTTCTTAGTGTTTGAGGTAACATCAGAATAAGTACCGTCCACACACACAACACACAAACCTGTAAGAACAAAATCTTATCAAATCCCAGAAACGTATGGTTTGGTTGATTTAAAAGTGTAAGGGCCACACATTAATGACTTACATAGGCTGCACAACTAAAGATGATTATTCAAAAATGTTTTGAATAATAATATAATGCATTTGAGACTATGAATATGATTGTTAAGCATGAAGCATTATAGGAATATTCAAGAGTTTGCTTTTCTGTTATTACTGGAGCGAATTACTAAATTTGAAAATCAAGAACCTTAAATTTTGTGAATCCATTTCATTAATTGGAACATGCATCATTATACCAAAGGAAACTAGTTACAATGGTAATCTGAAATAATTGGGGGACATAGCTGATTTTAGACTTATACTCAACTTTTTAGACAAGATTTTTTACGTTTACTAAGATTGTGAAAATAAAATGAGATGACCAGCTATTTTGTTATCAGATATCAAAAATGTAAACATTAATTTTCATGAAAAATATAAATCTATCAGCCATCATATACTAAATCAAGTAGGAATGTTGAAAGTTGCATGCCTTTCACTGAATGAGAACCAGGAGTGACATAGAAATTCTCCAAGTCATGAATGATTACTGCAATTGGTGGGGTGCTTGATAAATTCCGAAACAGTCACTACCACAGGCAAGAGAGATTATGTTGTTTTTTTTCAAATACTAGTATTCATACATGTAGCTTAGTAATTCATTTATTAAAAAAAAAAAGTTAAAAAGTAAAAATTCAGTGAAGCAGTGCACTTTTTTGAAAACATATTATGATGAAATGACTTTATTGTATATTATACAAACGCATGCATATTGTTACGGTAACGCTGTGGAAATGACGTCAGAAATAAATGATGGCAGCTTTCCAACGGGAATGTGTTAAAGAATACATATACATCAAGCATACTCCAATTTCAAATTTACCTTCTGAATAATTAAGCAAACCCATGAGAATGGTACATTGAAAAAAAGTGTAGTATATACCACAGTCCCTCAGCTATACTCACCATTTTTACTACCTTGTCCTGGTGGACAGTCTGCATTCTGTAGACAAAATTCATGCGTATCAGTATAATGATAACTCTTTTCACACTTGCACACATTGTCCTCAGTACCATCATTGGAAGCTGCTTTATGTATCACTTCATGCGATTTATTGCACATATTCATAGCCTTGCAGTAATCCGCCCCATTCCATTTATCCATGTACCAATTCCTATCGCAAGGAACACATGAGCTCTCGGGATGTTCACTACTGGTACAATGTGTTAGTATCCGGTAACCTACATATAAAAAAGACATGTACAAATTCAACAATTAATCAATGACTTTTCCAAATTGAACATCATTCTAGCCAAATATTTTATGCAACACCTTTTTTCTGTAGTTTCTATATTTATTTTACACCAAATAGAAACTTTCTTTCTTTACACATCTTGATCCAAAATTGTTCAAAAAAAAAAAATATGACTTTCACTGCGAACGATATTGCATGTAGATTTCTAAGTGATACATTTCATAAAACAAATCTGGTAGTACTACACATAAATGATATTGTGGTCACCATGAGTATGTGACACATTGGAACATTCATGATTTAAAAGAAAAATATGATAAAATAAAAATGTTCATTATTTGTGTTTGCATGTAAGATATAATTTTGAATTCTAGGCCTAAATTTCACATCTGTGTAATAATATTTATAGCGATAAATTCAATAATATCAAAATACTGTCAATAATGTTGCTATGTTTATGAAGATTTAGGATTTATAAGCCGAGGGTATATGCAAGCATGCGATATATGCGATAGATCACACATGAATTCAAGTACCGATAGTTACTAAAATTGGGATATGGTCACAATATCGCAAGAAAAATAATTCAAGAAATCCTATTACAAATACGTGTGTCAGGGAAAGAACTAGTTTATGACCATTTCTAAGGACTCCTCATGCTCCATCATGCTATTGGTTAGAAGTATACATTTAATTTCCATGCACAAAATGGGATTTCGTTCCAATGCTCACAAATTAATCGTAAGAGTTTGCTTCTCATGGAGATCTTCATAACATATTACCGAACATGAACACTGTATACCCATAAATTCTTGTTATTATCAACATTGAATCAAGGTACACTGTAACATTGAATCAAGGTACACTGTAACATTGAATCAAGGTACACTGTAACATTGAATCGAGGTACACTGTAACATTGAATCGAGGTACACTGTAACATTGAATCGAGGTACACTGTAACATTGAATCAGGTACACTGTAACATTGAATCGAGGTACACTGTAACATTGAATCGAGGTACACTGTAACATTGAATCGAGGTACACTGTAACATTGAATCGAGGTACACTGTAACATTGAATCGAGGTACACTGTAACATTGAATCGAGGTACACTGTAACATTGAATCGAGGTACACTGTAACATTGAATCGAGGTATACTGTAACATTGAATCGAGGTATACTGTAACATTGAATCGAGGTATACTGTAACATTGAATCAAGGTGTACTGTAACATTGAATCAAGGTGTACTGTAACATTGAATCAAGGTGTACTGTAACATTGAATCAAGGTATACTGTAACATTGAATCAAGGTATACTGTAGCATTGAATCAAGGTATACTGTAACATTGAATCAAGGTATACTGTAACATTGAATCAAGGTATACTGTAACAGTGAATCAAGGTATACTGTAACATTGAATCAAGGTATACTGTAACATTGAATCAAGGTATACTGTAACATTGAATCAAGGTATACTGTTATATTGAATCAAGGTATACTGTAACATTGAATCAAGGTATACTGTAACATTGAATCAAGGTATACTGTAACATTGAATCGAGGTATACTGTAACATTGAATCAAGCTATACTGTAACATTGAATCAAGGTACACTGTAACATTGAATCAAGGTATACTGTAACATTGAATCAAGGTATACTGTAACATTGAATCAAGGTATACTGTAACATTGAATCAAGGTATACTGTAACATTGAATCAAGGTATACTGTAAAACATGTCTTTTTAGCTACTATGTTATTTTAGCTAATTTAGCTAATCTAAAATAAAGTATATTCTCACAATGAGATTGTTGACACTTCAGCTAAATTAAGATTCAGTTAATTCATGCATGGAGACAAATTTGCTAAAATGGCTTTTAGCAATTTAAACATGTTTTACAGTATATGATAGAACACCATATGGAATGAGTTCCTGCCAGAATGATGACGAACGTGCATTGTATGCTTCATTGTGTTGGACTTACGGATCAAGTCACATATTTACATGTATCAATTCATAACATAAAAAATGACAATAGCAAACTATGTTTCTGAAACCATCTAGATATTAACACACAAACTGTACTCAATGTGTATGCTTATGGATCACAATGTATTAGCATGCCATTTGATGATATGATATGCATATATGTTCATTTTAAAAATGAATAAGTAAAAACAAATATTATTAAACACTAAAACAATGTGTATCAGATTACTATAAATATTTGACTTTAACACTTAAAAAAAGAATCTAGACTTGTGTACATATGTACATTATATACTGACCCCAGGTTACAGAACGAGAAGGCCAAGAAACATTTTCTTATTTACGCATGATTATATTCAATCTGAATTGCTAATACAGAATGGAAGTTATATCACAATTAAGGAACACAATTTTGACAGCAGGTTTTAAAGCAGGTACCCTGCAGCCAAAATATAGCGTGTCATTCCTAATTGTCTATTTCCAATTCATGCATAAGGATCAGTATAATTCATCACAATTAAGCAACTGTGGTATAAGCCTATCACTATGACAACCAAACTGGCATGGTTCGAGGTACACCACCTATTATAAACCAGGAAAACATTCAGTAATACCGATAATAAAATATATGAGACTAGTAGGAAAACACCACAAAGTGTACAGGAAAACAGACATTATCTACCAGTATGCAAGTAGAAGCTAGTGTAGGTAGTCAGTTACAAGGTACTGTCAGATTATTAACATTTTATTGTATTATGCAATATGAGTTTTTCTTATTTATATTTGTAAAATATTTGTTTCCCCAGGAACAGGGTTATGGAGAAGTGCTTGTACATTTATGACAAGCGTTTAATAATGCTGAATTGGAATCTGATACCAGAATAGATCCTTAATTGTTTCATAGTAAGCCAAATTAAATTCTGGATAGCAGTTGAATTATGTGATTTAAAAATATTCATGTTCAGAAATTGTAACAAAAAAACACAGTAAAAATGTTATTAAATCTTATTGACTAGTACCATTCACACATAAAGCATACACGTACAAGAAAACTGACATACTGGTACACCATATACTATAATGGTTGAAATGAAGAGAAAACAAATCCCACTACAGAATGAGACCTACCCCTGGTACTACCGCTCATAAACTTTAAAAGTTACTTACCATAATTAATTTGTTTTTAGTTCCTGAAATAATACATAATCTCATTTAATTAATTAATTATTCTAATTATCTAAAAAAAAATTATTTGCTAGGTTTACACGGCAACATTTCATTGGAGCCAAAATATTGCTCCTCCCTCCAATCAAAAAGGAATCATGTGCATTTATACAGTTCGGGCGAAATGAGAGCAGAGTTCAAACTGCATGGTTCATTCAAAGCGAAACGGAACTGTTCCATCATCTAGTTAAGAATCAATATATTTTTATTATTTGAGAATCTATTTTGAATCTAAATGACAAAACATCCTTGATATTGTTGTCTCCCATTGCCATCGTATTCTTGGGTTTTCTGTCATGACAGGGCCTACATTCCTTAAGAAACAGGTAATGTACATTTGGAGAAATCAGGTAAAATTAATGTAGCAAGCGTTTTTTGCTAATCGTCAGCGACAAACAACACTTATTTTCGCGCTCAAAGGGGCTGAAATTTACACTTTCCGCTCAGAAATTAAGAACGATATTGACTTCTGAGATGGCATGATTTAAATGGAACGTAATTTGAAGAAATCGATAACAGGGCATGATTTCAGCTCTGATGCTTTTACATAGTCAGAGCCATGTCGGGCCCAGTCCTTTTGGAGCTCAACTTTTATCAGAGCCAATCTCGGCTAGAGCTGGCTCAAGCTGAACATGTTAATTTACATGACAATTTTTGCTGGCTCAAGCCACTGGGCATCTGTAAAATGCCGCCGTGTAAACGAAGTAATTAAATTAGATTTTAAACAGTGTAAGCATTTCAAGTAAAAATAAAAATGAAACGATGGTACATTATTGTTAAAACGAATAAATAATACAGAAAACATATTGTACATCTCATGATACAAGTCTCCCTCTCATTTTGTTACCAAATGAATAAACACAACTGTAACATTTTGAGTCAGGTATGTTTATGATAATTTTGTTAACATAGCTAAAAAAAAAGGTATGGTTATGTAAGGGGATGGCATAAGTACATGGCCTAGGACAATTACAAAAATTGCAAAATTATTGCAAAAAAATGAAAACAAATATGTATTTACCACAATAAAATGTGTGAAACTCAACTAAGAATAAATTTTAAAAATAATGGATATTTAGTCTTTAGGCAGCGATAACAGCAAATAGTTAACAAATTATTGAAAATTTAACAAAAATTACATTTAATTACATTTTCCAGCTTAATATTTCATTGTTATTCAAGAAAAGAAAAACAAACAATAACGTGTTGCCAGGCACAGATATCAACAAATGTTTAGAATGAAAAATACTCTAAGGCCAGCTGAAATAAGTTCCTTGTTCATCAGACCTGCTCACACCTGCTCACAGCTGCCAGATTGTATTTTGTAATTTTTTATTTTTGAGATTTGCAGCAAAGGATTCACTTTACCAAAATGCGAGACATCAAGCCAAAAGTTGTCAGTGCCAACCACATTCCCAACCACAAACATAAGCCATTGTTCATCATTGATAATCGTCTGCTTACTATACATCATTTAAAGAAAGTTCAAAGTCAAAAAGAAAAATTATTAGCTCTTCACTTCCAACTTTTGGGGGAGAAAAATCACTCAGGACTCCAAGAGAAATCTGATGAACAAGATTTTCCTTTGTCTGGCCTAAAAGACATTTACAATTCAATTTACCTTAAACAAGTCACTACCTACTGTAACATTATTTCAGATATACAATGTATACCGTCGCATAATTTAAGTTGCACTCAGAGACAAATATTTTTAAAATTAGAAAATACTGATAAGTTGATAAGTAATTAGTATATTTATGT